AAAAAAAAAAAAAAAGTACCTTTAGCATTTGAATGCCTACTGTGTTGCTGCTCACACTCAGTGGATACAAAGACAGGATTTCTTGAACACCTCTCCCATGGGCTGGGATGGTGGGGAGGTACACTTAATTTATTAAAGTGAACACCTTAATAGATGCACACACAATATCAGTGGTAGAACAAAAGCTTTACTTGGTGGGGGTTAAGAGTAGCTGCACTCATACACATTTCAGTTTTGGAATTCTTTTTTTAAAAAGAAAATAGTTGGACCACTTTTATGGGACACATATAACAGGGCCAAGAGGGAGAAATCTGACAATCACTTTAGAAGGCTTTCTTTGACAGGTGGTGGAAGTCCTTAGGAAAACCACTATTAAATAGCCTAAGCATGGCAAATACAATGTAGGACATGACAGAGTGCAGGAATGCAAAATAAAATAGGTCTGGGTTCCATTTCCAAAAATAAGGAATTCAAAATTTAGAGAATATCTGAGTGTTCTACATAAGACTTGATTTTTTAATTAAAGGGTATTTAATCTTACTGTATTAAATTGTCTTGTACTTACAGTGCAACAGCTGATGATATTCACATTTCCTAAAACTTTCTATTTAAATCCAAGTTAGTTAACATGTAATGTAATAATGGTTTCAGGAGTATATTTAGTGAATGATCAACTTACATATAATCCAGTGCTTATCCCAACAAGTGCCCTCCTTAATGCCCAGCACCCCTCCGGCAAAGCTGTTTGTTCTCTGTATTTAAGGGTCTCTTAAGGTTTGTCTCCCTGTTTTTGTCTTATTTGTTTTCTTCCCTTCCCCTATGTTCATCTGTTGTGTTTCTTAAATTCATGTATTTCTCTTTCTCTGACTTATTTCTCTTAGCATAATACATTCTAGTTCCGTCCACATTGTTGCAAATGGCAAGATTTCATTTTTTGATCATGGAGGAATATTCCATTTTGTGTGTGTGTGTGTGTGTGTGTGTTTACACACACACACACACTGTGCGTACACACACATACCCCACATCTTCTTTATCCAATCATCAGTCTGTATGGCCATTTGGGTTCTTTCCATAATTTGGCTATTGTTGATAGTGCTGCTGTAAATATAAACATTAGGGGGGCGCCTGGGTGGCGCAGTCGGTTAGGCGTC